GTGACATTAATCGAATCCAATTTGTTGATGATAAATAATCATCTAAATCATCATCAGCCATTGAACCACTAATTATTAGATAACGAACATTTTTTGAAATTAATCGTTCTAGATTTGAAAAACTCATATCCTCATCACAAATATTTATATGAATGAATGATAAATTAGAAGGAAATTTCTGATGAGATATTATATATTCATCCATCCAATAATCACATTGATGAACTCCACCATTTATAATAGAAAATGAGCGAAGATTAGGAACCTTAAATATTCAAAATAATCTTTCGTTTTTTTTTTCTTTATAAATATGATTTCTTACAAAAGACCAAAAACGAGCAAGTTTAGCTAATTTAATTCTTCCATTAAGTGTTAATTTTTCAATTTGACTTATTTTGATTCGATGATGAGGAAAAGTTTTAATAAGGAATTCTTTTTGCATTGAATTAAGTATCATTCGATTAATATTAGGAAAATAAATCGAAATTATTTTTATAATAAATTTTGCACATGTTGATTCAATTGATATTTGACAAAGATTATTCAATGAATATTTACTTATCCTTTCTAATTGTTGATCATTTATAGAAATAAAACTAAGTGAACGAAGACGAACAAATGAACTAATATCAATTATCTGATTATTATTAATATGCAAATAATCTATTTTAAGAGAAATAATTTGATTTGAATTTAATGGATATGGAATAAGAATATTTGAACATAAAATATTTAAATGAATTGGAAGACGATAATCATTTAATAATGATTCAATAGAAGAATTTAATTTTGAAAATGAATTTATTAAAGATTGACCATCAAAATAAGCAAATAATTCAAACCAAATTTCACCTGATAGATCTTCTATTTGACTTTTTATTTTCGAAAAATCTTAAAAAAAATAAAATTTTTTTGATTATTAATCAAAAGAAAAAATAAATATTTAATTTACTTTTTTTTTGTTTTTTTGACTTATATTTACTATTATCTATATCAATTTGTCTAGTCAATGATCGTTTTCGTAGTTCCATCTATTAAATGAAAAAAAAACAAAAAGAATCATTTAGAAAATATAGTTTTCATTTTATATGACTGAATAATGACTAGAAGTTCAATATATGCATTTGAATTTTTTTTTTTCTTCTCTCTAATATTATATAATCTTATACTTCATAGAACAATCAAGTTTAAACAAACATAGAAACTGTTAAAAAAAAAAAACTATGCATTATAATCATTTGTTAGACAGAAGAATAAGATTATTATAAATAAGAAACATGGAAAAAAAGTATCTATGATATCTATTAAATATATTTTAGAAATTCTAAAAGAAAAAGACAACAGTCGGTAGTGTTCTGTCATTTGTTGACTGTTACTTTATTAAAGCCAATCAAATACATTTTCATAGCCTCCTCCTCTCTTCTCTTCTCAATGAAACAATATGCAATTGATTGATCATATCGCAACTTTCTTTTAGATAACAGATCAGTTTAAAATTTCACTTTTTGCAAGTTGTTTCTTTAACGGAAAAACAAAAATTTATAATAGAGCTGCTAGGCTAGCTTGGTAACCTGCGGGCGTCTGTCAAGTCACCATAACACGCTGAGTTTTTTCGTGTTAACCTGACCTACTGTTATCTGAAAAATTATTGACCAGGCCAGACTAGAACTTTTGGCTTGATCGAAGTCTATTTGACATTAATGTTGTAGTCCATTTTTAACGTTAGATGTCGCTATAGACTAAGTTCTATTTCGAAGAATTTCTAAAGAGTCATCATTCTCATATTGAGCGTGTTTTCCAATATGAAAAATAATATCATTCCAAACAATATTCTATATCAATTTCTCATTCTAAAGAATATTGTCGATTTTATCAATGGATTTCATCATCTGTTTACTATTCTAATCCGAACAAACATTTTGTGTTGATTCAATTGAATAAAACTGAGAAGAAAACAACAGACTTTCAAAGATCTAGAAAAGATTTCATGAAATTTCGAGACATTATCAGTATTAGAGAAATACTCGAAATCAAATGAATAATAAATCTAAATTCATACGTAAGCGAATGGTTTGTTGGGTATTAACAAACAAAGTATAAGTCGGTTATCGGATGATAAATTGTGACGAATAATAGAAACAAACAAAAAGCATTTTTAAATTCTTCATCGCATTGATATTTTATCGGCGAATCATTTCATTAGCGATATAAATAACTTTATTTAAAAAAGCACTCAATTAATATTATATTATTTTGTTTAATTCAAACGATCTTCGACTTTTTTTCAGGTAAATTGACTAAAGAATAAAAGTTCAAATTTCTGCGAAAAGAAGAATATCGAAAACAAGACAGTTTCATTGGCAATAATATTATGGAGATCGTCTATCTGTAAAGTTATCAAATATGTGAGTATAGCATCTTTTTCATCACGTTCTTCTTTTAAAATAACTTAAAATGTATATAAATTATTTAATTTTCTTGTAAATTTTATGTAAAAAAAACCGTACTCAAAAGAATTCAGAAGAGTTCAAAGGACTTCAAAATTTCACAATCGTAATGATTATGGATAAAGATTTCTTTTTCTAGAATAAATAAGACGATGGTTACAATAAACTAATTTAAGTTAATGATGCAAATAAAATTTCATGTGATATTAATAATATCCTTTTTCTAATAGATGAAATTTTATTATAAATATATTTATTTTAGAATTGAACAGTTAGTTATAAGGTTTACAGTTTATTATCTCTCTCTCTCTCGTTATATTATTAAAACAAGTAAATATGATTATATACTGATAAAATTACAAAAATGCAATAGTTATTTGTCAATACTGTTTATTTAAATTATTTGTTATTGTCATCAATCATACTCATGTAATTGTAGAAATTTCCTGAACGAACTGATTAAATAGTTCTATAGATATAAAATGATAAAATAAAACTTATGAATTTTCATTTTAATGAAAAATCTATTCCAATTTTTTAAATATGAAGACATGCTTCAAATTACCACCAATAAGTAGGATAGACTCGTTTAGGTGCCATATTATTAACAATTAATGCAACTAATAACATAGTACAAGCACCAGAAAGAGCAGGCATTAAAATAAATTGAAAATTTGCCCAAGGTAAAATAGGACGAGCAGTAACAGCAATTAGAGCAGTTGCACCAGCTGGTGGATGAGTTGTTTCAGTCAGTTGTGTTAATACAATAGTAGTTGCAACTGCAATAGCACATCCCATTGATTTTTCAAATTGATAAACAGCTAATCGTACTACACAACCACATGTAGCGCCTATAATATGACCACCAATTAAACTTCGAGGTTGAGCTAATGGAGTACGAGGTGCACCAAATACAATAGCAGCAGAAGCACCAAATGAACCGATTAAGAATGATAGTTGACGCCTATAGAATATTATGATTTTATTTTATTGTTATTGATGATAAACGATATTTACCGTTCGATTAATCTGAAATGAAAAAATGCAACAGCTGCGATACCACATAATGCTCCAATAAAAGTCCAAAGATATTCTTGCCATGGTAAACGTTTTGGTCGTTCTTCATGTAATCCATGAAATTTCCTCACATATGTTCTTATCAATTTCCAACATTTATTAACAATCAATGATGATGTTTTATCCGTTTCTTCAACATTTTCTATTTTATCAAGAGTTTCAGAAGGTACTTCAATAAGATCTGGTGGTGGTGCTTCTTCTTGATGATTGATATCGATGATAGATATAGCTGGTTTAGGAGAATTCGTTGTCATCTTTTTTTTTTATAAAATTACGTGTAGTGTTGATTTGTATATTGCTTTCTTTTCTTTTTTTCGTTTTATGTATATGATTATTTGATAAGGTTCAATGCACACGAGCGTGACTATGCCAAGATGAAAATGAAAACAATTGGTTTATATAACGTTTTTTGCGTGCATATTGATGTAGTATTTGATGCATACGCATATTGATACTTATTTATAACAAGTATAAATTTATCTTTTTTATATAAACGAAAAAAAAGACGTTTTTTTTTTTCATGAACAAAACGTATTGATAAAAGGCAAATGTCATTGATAGATAGAAGATTTCAACTGATTTATTTTATTTTATATGATGAATATTAATATTATTACTTAAGATTGATTAAAAGTTCTGATCCCGGCGTTTAGAATTTTATAAAATAGTTAATATCGAAAGTTTTATTGTTTGAATACAATAGTAGAATAGCTTGTCTATAATAATGTACATAAGTAAGAGAAGCAAGTATTGAAATAATGCTATATCCACTATATTCACCAAATCTTGCACGATGTGACTTTTGGCTAAATGATTATATCAAGAACGATTTGACTGATCAAGCAAATAAAGAATCAACATCTCAGGAAGTTTCTAAGATAGTAAAGAATATTTTCAGAAGAAGAGTTTTAAAAAAACTTTCGACAAACTATTAGAAAGAATGGAACTTTCTATAAATAATAATGATCACTTTTTAGATTTTTATTTCATCTTATCAAAACTTTTGGTCGATCCGAAGTATTTGATATAACTATATTTCATCATTGTTATGCATATCTCAATAGATAATATAATGACTTATTCGAATTTTTAAAGTAAGAAAAAGTCAAATTATTCGTTTCAATGAAGAACATCCTATGATATTTGTCAAATATGAAAAATGTTAATAGTATCAAATACAGGATGTGTCTAAGAATCTATCGATGATGTTCATTCACTGATCCAAACGGATAATCAATATATAGGAAAGAAATTATTTTTATCGGATAAGAAAATATTCAAATGTTTTACTTTTCACCAAAGAAAATCTATTTCAGTAAAAACAATGAGTTTTTTCAATAAACTTTGGCAGAATTTTCTCTGAATTGAGAAATTCAAATCTCTAACTGGTTTTTCGAAATTTTCAAGTTTTACATTTTATAATCAGAAACTTTTTAAAAAATGACATTAAAACGATGAAATATACATAAAAAATAATTTATGTCTATTTCAGCATCCAAAACACTATTTTTTGAGTGTATAGGTCTTCACTTCACCCATACTCACACTGACACCCTTTAATTGACACAAGAAATGTAAAAAAATACAATTCGCAGTTTGTTGACTATAAACAAATAGTTGCCTGGAGAACGGATAAAAAATGAGCATACTTGGTAGTACTAGAACTAATAAAGATTGTTAGAATTTTTCTTATTATAATCTAAATAAAGGATTGAAAATTATTGTTCAAATATTCCACGTGAATTTTTCTCATTTAGTTAACTCTGTGATGATACTTCAAATAAGTTTCTATCATCAAAAAACAATTTATATATTCTATAGTAATCTATGCAGATTATGTTCTAATATTTATTGGGAAAAAATCATATTTATTCAATATGGATAGAGTAGGGTGGGGTAAAAAGGCACACGATTTTGAAATTTTGACTTTCGAAGCTTATATCTCTTTTAATTTTGAAGATACAAAAAAACTTGCGGTACAAACATTGTAGAAAAAACATTTTTCTATCGATCTGTGTTTTTCGTTTTCAAAAACCTCATCGGGTTACTTTTCCACGCTAGTTTTCGTGCGATCTACTCGTCATGGTGCCGTATTATCCCATTTGGGGTAAAATTGCACTTAATGTATATGTGCGGAGTAATTAGGCACTTCTTATAAATTTCAATGTATTTTTGTATTACGACTAAAATCTAATTTTTGAAGTCATTTCTTGACGGATTTTGTTCGGACTCGTGTCATTCGGTAGAGGAAACATTTCTGTACAACCCTATACAAATTTCATCTTTAGAATTTTATTTATTTCCGTTCAATAGACCTTTTTCGGAGAGCCCTAAAAACAAATTGATGCCTTTTTACCCCATTTGGGGCAATTAGGCATTCACATGTATATATGTGGGGTAAATGGGCATTCGCAGCTATTTTAGCTGGATGCTCTAAAACCTAATTTTTGAACGTTCTATATATTATTTTGATCTCATCCCAATGAAAAAAATATTTGTCTCACTTTATTGCATCTATCTATAGCTTTTGTCAAGTGCTGGTGAGCAACAAAACAGAAATAACATGGCAAATACTCAAGGGGAAACATCGTACTTCTGAACTTTCGTACTTTAAAGTACTTTAATGTACTTTAAAGCCAAGGGGGAAACATCGTACTTTTATACTTTAAAGTACGCAAAGTACGGTGAAGTACTTTAATGTACTTCACCGTGCTTTAACCCTTTATACCTTGAAGCGGTTCCAGAAGAGCCGCTGATAAAATTACCACAAAAATAGAGTATTGGTCTCCCCAACATACCAATGGTATGGGCAGATCGATCAGGGGCACTACCTTTTGTTCAGGGGAATTTGATAACCGCAGTGACCATTGAGACAGAGAAGGGGATGAAACAGCTTTAAAAGCCCTACTTGTTTTCTTGTTTATGATGGTGTTAATTAGACAAATGTGCTTTCTATTCCTTTTTATTAGATTCAAATTCAAAAAGAAAAGCTACGAATATAAAAAGCTATTTTTAAACACCACATGTATTTTTGACAGAGATTTGTTAAAAATACACATTTTTCTTTAAGTAATTATATCATCAATGAAGACATTTAATCGATGATAAATATTTTTTTCGACTGCTACTCCGATAAGATTTACGAATAATATATTCATGGTATCCGCCATCTCTCGCTTTCTGTTCAATAGTCGTTTCAGAATCCATCTGGTATATTACCATTTCTTATCTGCCAAGCCACTCTGAAATTTTTGAAACGCATTTAGTTAAATAGTAGACACTTCTGTCGATATAGATGACATAATACAGCCTCGAAATCCCTATTGTGTGTGAGTGAAAAACCGTTTTGTTTTTAAAATTTTGTTATTCTTAAATTCTTTCAAAATCGATAATTTTGAAAGTCATATATCTCAGAGATAGAGCAATGAAACAAAATATTTTTTTACCAATCGATAGCTTATGGAGTTCCGTACCAATATTGTTTAGGGAGTTTTCAACACCATGCTTCCTGTATTTTCTGCAAAACTTTGTATGAGTGGGTCAAAAGTGACCCAACAGGGTATAAAGGATTAAAGTACTTTAAAGTACTTTAAAGTACTTTAACCCTTTTAGGCCTATGGCTGAAATTTCTTTGAGATTTTATATTTAATATGGGCAGTGTGTATTGTTGATATTTTTAAGTCATACAAATGATTTATGATCAACTACTGATCGAAGTAATCAATCATCACAAATAATTCATCTTATAAAAGAATTATCTCAAGTTTATCAACGAAAACAAATTGGTCAACCTGTTACATTAACTGCTTTTTATTTATTTTATTTATTTATTTAAAATAAATTTAATTATTAATTATTCTATTTGATTAGGTTCATAT